TCTTTTACCTGACCAACAACATGTGGGTGTGTGTGCTTGCCATACATTAGAGTATGACTTCACACATATGAGATCAAACCAAATTCCTAACACATTCATACAATCATACATAATTAATTTTAGACAACTAATTAAATACGATATTATAATTTTATTCTACTTCGATCTATTATAGTCGTTTTATTAGGCTGAACCATTCCAATGTGCTCTCATAAAACACTTACATTTTCAATCAAAATTTATACTAGTAGAATAGTAGATGACCCTAACCACTCAAGTCTTAATTTATTGAAATATTCATTTGAAATAATGGACCGCTCGACTATATTTAAGTGGTATTTTAATTTCATAACGGGAGGGAGAGGGAAAACGTAAAGGGGAGCTATGAATAATGGCCACACATATTTGGAGGGTGAATTAATTGAGGGTGTAGTCTGCTCACCACTTGATGGACATGACAAAGAAGGGTAGGAAAATGATTTATTTTGCTTCTTTTGGGTAGGGCAGACGACGCTTATTTAATTAGTGCTCATACAACTTGCCAACTTGACTATATATGTATTATTATGAAAGATTGAGTATTTCATGGGGCACAAACAAAAGAGACATTTATATATTTAGAGAGAGTGGGGCCGGATGTGAGGGAAGAGACATCTTTCTTCAATTCTAGAAATAATAGTGAGTTGTCCGTACGGGATTAGTTTAATGGTTCAGTAGGTAGTATTTGGGAGAAGAGATCATGGTTTGAACATTGGCGGTGGTAGTGTGGAATTATGTCCCAAGTGGGTAGCCTATGATATCTTGTGCACGGCGACATTTGGCCTTGTCTACTGAGCTATTGAGTCACCGTGATTGATAACCTCCAAAATGCTTTGTCGGGCTAGGGTGTGGGAGACCCTTGGAGTTGGGGATTCAACCTTTTGAGAGGAGAAATAATAGTGAGCTTGCTCCGAAAGGAGTGACGGAGTATGCATGTATAGCATGATTTTTGTATCAGAAAGTTAACGAGCTGAGTTTGATACTTGTTAATACATTTTCAATCGAACCCGACGCACAAGGTCTTCCTAGTGCAATTTTTCTCTTATGTGTAGTTTGCTAACTATTACACAATAATAGAGTTTACCTAGTGCAGTGCAGTGTGCAAATCCTCGCGTAGTGACTATAAATTTTCCTTGTCACAAACAAAATAGTAAGCTTATGTTTTTGTTTTAAAGCATACGCATACCCAACACTGTAAAACTAATTCAAATTCAAATGTGACTAGTCTAATTCAAAACTCTTCAACATGTGACACCAACTCTAACTTTATGGTTGCATTAAGCATCTATTTACTAACAGTCTCAATTTGCTTGGATTAAATGGTGAGCCTTTTGATGTATTAATTATTGAGTCTTGTGTTTAAGATCTTGTGGTTAAATAACATTAACTTATAATTTAAAGTTAAGAGATTACATAATCAATTCAATTAAAAAAGAATGATATTAGAATTGAAATATTATTGAAGATCAGAGCACTATACATAAAAATGACACATATACTAATCATTAACTTCGAAAAAAAAAATGACGTATACTAAAGGTGGAGGGATATTATTGTAATTCTAGAATTTTGAATGGACTAAACAAGTGTAATTAGATATTCAATTGCCAACTATTATATAGCGTCATGGCACATCTGTTACCATTCTAAATAGGTGGTTATATGATCGAACTCTGGTAGTGAAAATATTGATTCTTTGGGCAGATACAAAGGCCCCGGTGGTGTTATATATATATATATATATATATATATATATATATATATATATATATATATATATATATATATAATTCATTTTTTTAAATTCTACCAAACACGAATATGATTAGTGTCAGTGAGAAAAGCTATTCTTAGACAATTGAAAACATTATTTCATCTTTTAAATGAAATTAAAAACAACATTATTTTATAGTGTCACATTCATAAGAAGTTTTTTTTTTTTTTTTTTTTTTTTTTTGTATTTCAACTATATTTTAGAGTTTGTAAAATATATTTTGAATTAGTACAATTGGACTTTAGAACGAATTAAAGACAGTAAATACAATTTTCAACAATTTAATGCATCATAAAATTAAAGTTTAAAAGGGAACGTACACCAAATTGGTGTTAAATAAAGGGACAATTCAATAATGTCAATATTGATCTCTCTTTACTTTCAACTTGTGAAGTACGAAATTCCTCTTTCTTGTACGAATTACACCCAGAATTACTCCCGAACCTGCAAATCAAATTTTATATTCGCAGTTTTAGGAGTAATTCTGGGGGTAATTCGTAAAAAAAAAAAGGATTTCGCAGTTCACATGTCTATGAGTAAAGAGATGCCAATATTAAAATTACTGAATTGTCTATTTATTTAACACCAAATGGACAGAATAACAAATGAGGGACTAAATTGAGCAAAAACACAAAAGTCTGGGACTAAATTGAGCGAAACACAAAAGTCTGGGACGATATTAGGTCACCAAAGTCGTTTAGGACGAAATTGAGAAAAACCACTATAGTCGAGGATGATTTTGGGTATTAACTCAATTTTAATTATATAATACTCAAAAAATGTAGAATCAAAATTATAGAATTTAAGCAAGCTAAGGGCAAGACAATTGGAATCGAAACAGATCTGACCAGAGAATCTCTACTATATACTAACTAAAGCTTCTCGTTTGGTTGATTTCCCCCGTGGAGTCCACTATGTTCATTTTCATGGGTACACAACACACATTTTTATTTTTAAACTAATTTCATTGTCATTGTTTTAATTGTTCCAATGCCGTTGAGTACAAATATGTTAGGATCTGCCACTTTTTTTTTTTTTTTTTTTTTTTTTTTTTTTTTAAAGACGGGGTGATTGGACTTGGACTTAATTGGACAAGGTATTCTTGCTGAGACTTGAACTTGCATCTGATCTAACTCTGATACCACTTGTTAACATCAAACTTTTATCACTATGCTAAAAGCTATAACTTTTAGCGTAGTGGTAAACGTTTGATACTTAAAAAAAATATATATATTCTTAGTAGGTTAGTGAGTGAAGCCAAGTTGGGCTAATGTAGTGGAAGCCATATCCAATGGTGAGATTTATGGGTGTGCGTCACTTTTCCTTATTCTCTCTTTTAGTAGAAAAGGGTGATTAAAGAGAAATGCATTAACCTTGACAACATGGCCGACATGTAATATACTCATCACTTTCAAACAAAATAATACGGAGTACAATATATACAACGTACTATCAAACAAATATAGTCAGGTTACGTACCCAAAAAACATTGATATATAAGCACGTTCTAAGATGCAAATTATTTTTGGAGCTTTCGCTTGCATGTTATCACTTTTAGAGCAACAATATTAGGCATAATTTTTGAGTTTTTGTCGAATTACAATGAGAGAGAATAAATTGAAAAAAAAAAGTTGATTGTCAATTATCAATGTCACCCTTGAATTATTAGTGGTGTAAATGTAGCTCCTCAATTTTTAAAACGGTACATATATTGCCCCTCCCGTACGAATTATTAGTGGTGTAAATGTAGCCCCTCAATTTTTAAAACGGTACATATATTGCCTCTCCCGTACGGTACGAGCTGAGAGGGGCAATATATGTACTGTTTTGAAAATTGAGGGGCAACATTTACACCACTACTAATTTAGGGGTGACATTGATAATTGGTATATTATGAAGGAATAAATTACAATTTTTCCTATTTTTTTTTTTTTATGGAAATGACTTTATTGTAGACAGTAGTTAGTGTACAAGTATTTGTGGGTGAGGGGGATCGATATGCCAATTGAAGCTTATCTCGCAATTTAGCTCAGCACACTTTTACTGGTTTAAAGTCAATGAGAATGAGCACAATCCCCAAATTAAGAAGACATGACTCCTATTTATAAGTGTTACAATTCAACCAACCCCAAGCATGTAGATTTGTAATTGGATTTCTTTTCATTTTCTACTGCGTTGTGTCAACGAGCTACTTCTCATGAACTAGATCTCTTCCTCCTGTAGCCCATAGCCTAACCCAAATACCTCATCATATTATTCAAACATCTTAATTTAGGACCAATATGATCATGGCCTACAAAATTTAGCACAAAGTGGTGGTCTTAATTGATCTAGTTCAAGAGAAAGATGTTCATTGAGAGACATTATGGAAACTCCAAGCTAGAGGCGTCTTGCTCTGGGTCAAGCTAGCCGTTCAAGGGACTTGACCCAAGAGAAAGATGTCCATTGAAGCTAAGGATGTTATGGAAACTCTAAGCTAGAGGATTTTATGGTTCTGGCGAGTCCGCATTGTGACTCTATCCAATAAAGGATCACAATGAAATAAATCAATCAAAGTTATCCTTACTGGCGGACTCAAGTCAAGAAGACTTATAAGCAAACTCTATAGAGCGTTAAATTTAGAACCTTATAATTATTGAGTCAATTGTCCAACCAATTCATTTGGAACTAGCATAAACTAACTTCATACTCAATTAATTAATCACCTATCAATTATTTTATTTTTTAAACTTCTAATTGGACTTTCTCACAGATCGGTTGGTACATTGCTATATTTAGTAGGCTTAGTTTTGAAGTAGAAAATCTGTGAGTTTTTCCAACGATTGTTTAATATGTCGGAAATCTTAGGTTGTGATAATATTTGTTGGAAAAAAAAGGTCAAATAAGTCCTTAAACTTTACCCAAAAAAATCAATTAATTTTTTAAACTTTCCAAAATTGCAATTAAACCCACAAATATGTTACTTTGGAGCAATGAAACCCACACCCTCACAGTTGAGCCCATCGCCCAGACAATGCATGAAAAAATCAACATAACACCCAAAAACATTGCAAATCTATTCCATCAGCAACCTAAACAGGATCACAAGTTCGATTCTTGCTAACACCCTCACGGTTGAGCCCATCGCCCAGACAATGCATGAAAAAATCAACATAACACCCAAAAACATTGCAAATCTATTCCATCCATCAGCAACCTAAACATGACTCGAAATTTGTTTAATTTAACTGTAATGAAATTACAAGAGACCTCCAATGCATCTATAAATTTCAGTAACCTAGCTAGCTACCTCCTTACAAGTTACATTACAACTACAATCTACATTACCTTACCATACATGTGTAATACTAAACAAGTTACCTCTACTACAAATTCTGCTACTCAGAAAGTTAACAAGAATAAATGGAAAAAATAAGAGCTCATGGTTTCATGAGACTTTACATTAAATGAAATTTTCACAATTCAGAATTGTCAGTGCAAAGAATGTTCCATGGTAGCCATGGAAAGTCAGTAGCTTCTTGCGTTTTAGGGTTACTGATCCCTCCATCTTGGACTGCAAACGGCGAAGAATCCAGAAGGGGACAATGGAAATCCATAACTGGGTGATAGAGGTGAAAGAATTCCTGGCTGACCCATAGGGGAAAAGGAGAATTTTGGGGACAATGGAGGGGGATGCTGAACGCCCGGGGAAAACAAAGGATAAGGCGTGCAGGGAGAGAACAAATTCACGAATCCATTCGGGGAAGGCAAAAGAGGTGGTGGTGGTGGTGGTGGAACGTCATTCATTATCAGAGGTGATAGAATAGGAGCATCACCATTCATCCATGGGGATGGAAGGGGAGGATCAAGGAATCGAGGCGATGGAAGAGGCGGATTCGCAAGAAAATCATGAGGCTGTGCTTGTTTAGGCCCTGCAGAATCTATAATAGAACCCTGCAGGCACTGCATATAAGCCGAAACAGGAGAATTGCCCGAATTTTCCCAAACATCTATTGGATTAAAAGGATTATGTGCAGGGGAAAGCGGTCGACTACAAACAGCAGTAGCAGCAGGCGTTACATAGTTATTGCTATGCGCAACGCGAAATTGGGGTTGGTTCATTGGCATCAAAGGTGCAGGCCTAATCCTTTGCAACCTAGTACCTGGATGATTCTTGGAGGGGTTTTGGAGAGGTCTAGGTAATGATGTGTTTTGTGAAGGTGAACCAGTCAATTGTTGGACTATGTTCCTGAAATCACTCTTGTTTATGTTATAAACCTGAGATGGGGGTTGAGGCCTAGCAGCAAAACCAGAATTATTGGCAAAACTGGGTTGGTGAACTGGACTCTTCTTTATGTTCTTCCCCATCCTATTCACCCCCAAAACTTCAACATGCCTAGAATAATCCATTCCCACAAACCCCAATCTTAACTAAACCACAAAGAATCAAGAATCAAGAATCAAGAATCAGTTGTTGAAATAATGAAATCCCAGACTCACAGAACAATAAAACAACTTCAAATATTGCCCAAAACTTTAAAGTGCACACACACAACAACTCGATCAGATTCTCAGAACCCAGTAATAATGTAATGCTAATTAATAGCTAAAACACTTCTAGTGCTCCAATACTCCCACAAATTTAAAGGTGCAGTAAAATACACAGAACTCGTTTTACTATAAAAGACACGCAGGAGAGGAAGCAGAAAGCAGAGAGCTGAGAAAAAGGAGAGAAATTTACGCCTTTGATTAGAGGCTGCGCCGCGTGAAAACTGTTGATTAGTCTTGGAAACGGTGGTTTTCGGTCAGACCGTTTCTCTGACCAGAAATCGAATTGGCGTCGAGCTGTATAAACCATGCGTGAAGAAGGTGCCGGAGAAAGGGAGAGTAGAGCCAGGTGTGGCTAATTTAATTGCTTTAATTAATCACCTTAAAGTCTAGGTGGAGTAATAACATATGAGTCATCAGAAGAGATAAAAATTTATTGTATACAAAATGTATAAACAAGATTGAAAACATGTGCTCGGGGTTTGATTTCTACCCATGTAAATGGAGCAAATCATTTGACCAGTCTCGTACCATTTAATATACTGACCGTTAGGATGGAGGATTAGTCTTTTGGCTATCGGCTGGTATGACTTAGTGTAGTGGTTTGTGTCATGTTTGACGTCACGGTGGAAGGTGATAGTGTGGGTTCCATTAAAGACTAGAGTCTGATTGGTGGGTTAATTACACGTTTCGCAATTTACCTCTATATAAAATGACTTTAGGGCGGGGTCTTACGAATTTAGATTTAGTCAATAAAATTGAGATTACCTAAGTAAGACCATCTGCATACATGGAAGGCCACCTCTTGCAAAGCCTACGTGGCTTTTAAAAAATGACATGTTGCTGCTAATTTGCAATATTGACACGGCGGAATTGCAAATGTTGTAATTGCCGTGTCAGAATTGCAAAGAGGGGAGATAGGATATATATATATATATATATATATATATATATATATATATATATATAGTGAAAGGTTCCTGTGCATTTGTTGCTTCTCGTACGGATGTGCGGTGGATTAATGTGCCTGAGATTTGTACTTAATGTGCATGAATGTGTAAAATGCAGAAGAAAATATTGATGTCAGCTTCTTCCCCATCCCAGTAGCCATTTGCCCTCTCCCTGATGATGATGATGTGGAGGCAAGCTATGGTGGTTAAAAATTATGGGAATAATACAACAGAAATCCACACTTAGCTGCTGTGCAAATTTTACTGTGCGTGCGTCATTTATATAAACATTCAACTGCATTGAAGGTAGCTGATAATCCAGAATTCATGGCCAAATTGAAGGAAGAAATAACAAGAAGCTTGGACGTTAATGTGCGTAAGTTTCTGTTCTGCTTCCTTCTGTGCTCGTAATTCTAAAATACGCACGCACATTAAGCACAAATCTCACGCACATTAAACACAATACTCAGGCACATTAAGTACAAAACTCACGCATATTAACATGACGCACATTAAATATAAACCTCACGCATATTAATCCACCGCACATCCGCACGGGAAGCAACAAATGCACCTGATCCCTTCCATATATATATATATATATATATATATATATATATATATTGGTTCCTGTGAGAACAGGTCTTTCCGTGTGGTCAGTGCGACATACACCATTAGCTATGCATAAATGTACCATAAAGTGTTTGAGAATACACCAGAATGAAATGTCAAAAAATGCACCACAAAAAAAAAATACACCACACATAATGATGTATTTTCGAACACTGTGTGGTGCATTTATGCATACGTAATGGTGTATGTCGCACTATATATATATATATATATATATATATATATATATATATAATGTATAGCACAAGGTGTGTGAGGTTTGTGCTTAAAGTGTGTGAATTTGTGTTCTTAAGGTGTTTTGTTTGTGTGCTTAATATGTGTGTGTTGTGTACTTAAAGTGCGTCAGTTTAATGCTTAATGTACGTCCAACCGCACAACCGCACGAGAAGCCCTCCCCGCACATATATGATCCCTTCCATATATATATATATATATATATATATATATATATATATATATATAAACTTGATGGCTCAATAGGGGTACATATATATTAAAATTTGAAAAGGAGAAAACAAGAGTAGATGTAAGAGGGGTCAACGAGGAAATGGAATTGAAAAGGAAATGGGAGACCAGTGTGCAAAGGACAGAAAACGGATATGTAGTTGAAAAGTCCGAGTGGCGCAATGGTGGAGTTTTTTCATTTTTAGTTTAGATCGGTATTCTTATTTAGTTGTAGATAATTCTATTAATATCTAAAAGAAATTAATCAAATTTATAAAATGTTTTACTGGTTAATCAACTATTGGAGATAGCGTAAGAAAAATTTTATTTGATTGTTCATCGCTTCATTATTCTCACTGTATTTGCGTAAATTGAAAAAGAAAAATACAAAAATGAATGTTTACAGCAGATGATCCAATGAATTAAATCCTTGCTGTATGGAGTGTATGGTTGCATGTCCACTACGTAGTTAATATATATATATATATATATATATATATATATATATATATATATATATATATATATATATATATATATTTTGTTAAGAATATTTGTGGTTGATATCTTTTGTCTCTGTTTTAGTTCTAGTTATGCTCCTATTGACTAATAGTGTTGGACTGGTTGTTACAACATCCTGCTAACTACCTGTTGTTTTCTCTCTCTTGTATGCTATTTAAGTTTGATTGTTTTCATCAATAAATTTGTTCAGTTCATAACCTTTTATGGTATCAAGAGCCTAGTTTCTCCTACGAAGTTTTTTTTTCTCCACTTCTACCCAAATGGCTTCACTATTACAACTCCATCATATCGGTTGTTCGCGTTCGTGAGAAGCCTATATCCTTTGGCGAGTTGGCAGATGTGCTGACTGACTATGAACGTCAGTTGAAGGACGCATATGATTCGCGACAGTCTTTATTGGCTACTGTCAATGCTACTCAACGCACCTCGCCACCCCCGCGGTACAACCAGCCGTCTAATTTCACCCGGAGGGCTCGCAACAATAACAACCATTCCGTCTCCAATCGACAGAATAGGCAACAAGGGGATCACAATCGCTCCAGTATCATTTGTAAGTTCTGTCACCTTACAGGTCATGAAACGAGGGTGTGTCGCAAGCTAGCCCGGTTTCTAAAGGAGCATAATGTTTCTCCCGTCCAATCCTCTACATCTCCTACAACCAATTCGATGACTGGGGCTTCTCCTCCCTTATGTTTGATAGTGGTGCGTCGCACCATGCGACACCAAGCCTCGCTCCTCTGCAGACTTTCTCCGAGTACAGTGGGCCGGATGAAATACGCCTGGGTGACGGTAATTCCTTACACATATCCCATGTTGGCCAGTCAGTCATTCCCACTCCCTCCAATGTCCTCACTCTAGACAATGTCTTGCGTGTCCTTCAGTTACATACTAATTTAGTTTCTATTTTCCAATTATGCAAGATTATCCATGTGTTTGTTGAATTCTTTGATTCTCATTTTCTTGTCAAGGAACTTCGAACGGGGATTCTACTGCTATGGGGGGCAAACATTAATGGTGTCTACTTTGGACCAGTTGCCTCTTACCCAACAATTCATGCTACGCAGTCGTCTCGTCTGTCTCAGTGGCACCAACAACTTGGCCACCCGTCTAATAAGGTGTTGCAACTTGTGTTGCAACGCTGTAATGTTCCAGTTTCTATGTCATCTATCCGAAAATTTTGTTGTTCTTCCTGCAATGTTCATAAAAGCCATTAACTGTCTTTTCCAAAACTTCACTTGTTAGCACTAAACCACTGCAACTAATTTACACTGATGTATGGGGACCTACTTAGAACTCTATTGATGATTTATGCTATTATGTAATTTTTGTAGACCACTTCTCAAAATACATATGGTTGTACCACATGAAACATAAATAAGATGTATTTATGATTTTCACTCAGTTCAAACAGCTAGTGGAAAAATACTTTGGCATGTCAATTATTTCCATTTACTCAGATAATGGAGGGGAGTTCATGAAACTTGGACCATTTCTTAATACTCACGGTGTATCTTATTTCACCACCCCGCCACACTCTCCTGAGCACAATGGTGTCGCAGAACGACGACATAGGCATGTCGTGGAAACCGGCATGTTTCTTCTTCACTCTGCGTCTTTGTCGTCCTCGTACTGGACCTACGCCTTTCAGACAGCCGTCTATCTCATTAACCAGCTCCCTACTCCGGTTTTAGGTAATCAGTCTCTGTTTTATATCTTGTTTCGACAATTGCCTAATTATGTTAAGTTACAACCTTTTGGTTGTCAATGTTTCCCCTGGTTGCGTCCCTATAACACCAAGAAACTACAACCGAAGTCACGTCCGTGTATCTTTCTTGGCTATTCGACCACTCAGTCCGGTTATAAATATCTAGACTTCAACTCTAATCGCATTTATGTATCTAGACATGTTCAGTTTATGCCTCATGTGTTTCCTTATATGGATTTGTAGCAAACATTTACCAACTCCCTGCCTGCTTCGCGTGATTCTGATCAGGCAATGTTGTGTTCAAGTCATCCTCTATGGCCCCACAGTCTGTGACCAGTTCCTCAGTCACACCAATCACCAGCTTCATCGTCTGCATCTCCGTCTCTCCCTACTATAGCCGACTCCCAGCAAACTGCTCCAGTGGGTGTTGCAACTCCGGTTTCAACACCGTTTACTGACACCAGTTCGTCATCACCTTTTGGGTGTTTGCCACCCGCAGTCCAGACAGTGAACAATATCCCAGCCAGTCTGGGTCTGATTCCCTACCCGTCACTACCTCAGAAACTTCGCAATCGCAGCCTAATCTAAGACGGTCTACCCGAGAGCGTCGTCCCAATCCCAAGTATTCTGGCTATGTTATCAACCAAGCCACGTCACATCCCTTGCCTCCTACCTTAGAACCGTCTACCGTCGCCCAAGCTCTTAAAGACCCTCGGTAGAGGAAAGCAATGGATGAGGAATTCAAAACGCTGCAGCGTAACAAAACTTGGCAACTAGTTCCGCGCAGAGCGACTGTTCTGGTTGGCTACAAGTGGGTATTCCGTGTCAAGCGCAATTCGGATGGGTCGGTTGATCGGTTTAAAGCGCAGTTAGTCGCTAAGGGATTCTTGCAGACTGCTGGCCGGAATTATTTTGAGGCATATAGTCCGGTTATGAAACAAGTGACTATCCGCGTGGTTCTGACAATTACTTTGAGTTATTGCTGGGGATTGCGCCAGCTAGACATTAATAACGCGTTTCTTCATGGAACGTTGCATGAGGAGGTGTTTATGGAGCAGCCACCAGGCTTTGTTGACCCTACGTTTCCAACTCATGTTTGTAAACTGACCAAAGCTTTATACGGTCTTAAGCAAGCCCCCCTGGGCTTTGTACTTGGAACTTTCCCAGTTCTTAGTGCGTTGTGGGTTTTTGAAGTCAAATATAGATGCATCTTTATTCATTGATTATGCTAATGATGTTATTGTTTATTTCCTGGTGTATGTGGATGACATTATATTAATAGGAAACAATGTTGCATGGCTTGATAAATTTGTTGAGACTCTGTCAGCTCGGTTTGCCCTTAAGGACCTTGGTTCCTTGCATCACTTTTTGGGTGTTGAAGTAGTTTCAACACCAAGTGGCGTGTTCCTGTCTCAAAGTCAATATATCACAGACATACTGGTTCGTTTCGAGATGGATGGTGCAAAGGCTATTTCAACACCACTGGCAACTATAGGCAAGTTGCTCCATGCGCAATCCGATAAGGCTACGGTGGATGTAACTCAATCCCGGCGTCTTCTTGGTCTACTGCAGTACCTGGTCATTACTAGACCCTACATGTCCTACGCAGTTAATCGGCTTTCACAGTTCATGCATATGCCTACGGAGGTGCACTGGGAGGCTGCCAAGCGGTTGTTGCGCTACTTGAAGGGTACGATGTGTCATGGGCTGTACCTTCGTGCTGGGCAACCTCTCTCGCTGAGTGTGTATACAGGTGCTGATTGGGCTGGCTGCACTTCTAGTGGGCGGTCCACTACTGCTTACCTATTGTATCTTAGGACTAACCTCATCTCTTGGAAGTCCACTCGTTAGAAATCAGTTTCGCACTCGTCCACAGAAGCCGAGTATCGTGCCTTGGCGAATGTTGTTGCGGAAGTTCTGTGGGTGAAGAATCTGTTGCATGAGCTCCGGTTGCAACTGTTGTAGCCTCCGATTCTGCTTTGTGACAACCTTAGCGCTACGTATCTGTGTTAGAATCCGGTGTTTCATTCCCATATGAAGCTCCTCGTGCTTGACTATTTCTTTGTTCGTGACCTGGTTTCTAATAGCTCACTAATGGTTCGGCACATTCCTTCGTCGGGCCGCTCGCTGTTTGTTTTGCTCCGTTCCAAGATTGGAGTCTCCGACGGATCCCCCATCTTGCGGGGGCGTGTTAAGAATATTTGTGGCTGATATCTTTTGTCTCTGTTTTAGTTCTAGTTTTGCTCCTATTGACTAGCAGTGTTGGACTGGTTGTTACAACATCCTGCTAACTACCTATTATCTTCTCTCTCTTGTATGCTATTTACGTCTGATTATTTTCATCAATAAATTTGTTCAGTTCATAACCTTTTATATATATAATTCAACTCATTGTGGTAAGTGAACAATCTGGCAACATATATAATAATGTGTGCATACATTACGAACATCATTTCCACATACACATATACCTATATATCATGTACTCCGTATAAGTTATTTAACATGCACAATTTTCAATTTCACCCCACTATTTACTTTGTCATTTTCCCCATAATAATAATTATAATAATTATTATTATTATTACTATTTTGTAGTGACTTTTTCAACTTTGACATAGCTTTAATGTGATTTAGAATGGTACAATTTTAAGATCAACGGTTTGATGGACAAAAGAACTTGGTAATATCAAGCAAAATAAATTATCATAAAAATATATACCTAATAATTATTATGGTAATTAAGGAATTAATTGCACATATATTAGTATAATTCACTAATAATTATTATGGTAATTAAGTTAATAATTACCTTAATAATAGTATAATTACAATTAAACATGAATCGTTGGACTTTTTTATAATTATTAGAATTAATTTTATGATAATTTCTCTCTCTCTCTCTCACTCTCTCTCTCTCTCTCTCTCTCTATATATATATATATATATATATATATATATATATATATATATATATATATATATATATATATATATATATATATATATATATATATATATATATATATATATATATATATATATATATATATATAGTTAATGCCATTTTTGGTCCTAGACTTATTGGGGTATTGACACTTTTTATCCCTCATAATAAAAATTGCCAGTTAGTAGCCACTGTTATTAGTCACTGGACACTTTTAGTCCTCCGTTAGTGAATCCGTCTCTTGACCGTGAAATTGAAGGACAAAGTTGTCTTTTTACATGGTCTTCTTCTTTTAATTATGATAGTACACCGGCTCCGGGCCCTCAATCCTCCCCGCCGCCCCACTTACTCCACCGTTGTCGCTATTCCATTTTCCTTGCGTCTTCTCGTGGCACGTCCGCTTTACTACTATAATCCGTGTGGGTAAGCCGAGGTGTTGAACCATCGTCTCAACATGCTCAGATTTCATTATTGTTCATAGCGAAGAGTCGCAGAGAAAGAAAATCGACGATGGAGGGACTGAGGGAGGGAGCGTTCCATAGATTTCAACGAAGAAGACTTACCCAAATTTGTAGATTCGCAGGGTCGTCGGAGTCGCTCAGTCTTATTCTAATCGCTAGGGATTTAGGGATTTTAGAATTTAGATTTTAAGATTTAGGAATTTAGATCTTTAAGGATTCAGAATTTGAGGGTTGAATTCAGAATTTAGGAATTCTAGTGTTCACAGCGACTTCGATTCTTCTCGTTGATTTCGATTGTTCTTAGCCGAATTCATTGGGAAAAGCCATCGATCTCGACCTCAATCTCCCTCCCGCAGAATTGTCCATTGATAGACATGCTCAAGCCCACCAATACAAAATCTTGATTAGTAAACTCATTCTTTCTACCTATATTATGTCAAGATGGCTTGTGATCTGCAAAATTTGGCCCACATGAAGGGCAGTGTCCTTAGACACTTCTCTTAGCACTGTAACAGAGAAAAAATATTTATTTCTACTGCTAGAAACTTGCAAGTTAAGGCCAGTGCACAAGCGCCTCCAAAGGTAAATGGAACTGTGACAAGTGTGATGGATGGCTTCAAGACTGGTGATGAGGTGACCTCTTCACATCCCTCAAAGACAATTATCAGTCAGCTGCCGGATTGGAGTATGCTTCTTGCAGCCATAACAACTATTTTCTTGGCTGCTGAGAAGCAGTGGATGATGCTATATTGGAAGCCGAAGTGCCCTGACATGCTCATTGATCCATTTGGTTTGGGAAGAATTGAAGATGGTTTTGTTTTTCGTCAAAATTTCAGTATCAGGTCTTATGAAATAGGAGCTGATAGAACTGCATCAATAGAAACAATGATGAATCATTTACAGGTATATTTGAGGCATTTATATGTGTTTTGCTTAGATGTTTATTGAACAGATAGTCAGTAAAATGCAGGTTATTGTCGATTGTTACCCTGCTTGGAAGGTTTTTGTTTTTGTTTTTGTTTTTTGTTTTTTTTTTTTTTTTTTTTTTTTTTTTTTTTTTTTTCTTGAAAGTTACTTCCATGAATTGAATATGGATACCAGTCATTTATACCTAACTAGGATACTATATTCTGCATAGTGCATACCTTGACATTATATTTTTAATGAACCAGGCTGTGGTTAAATTTCAGAATGTGTGCATTAAGTTTTGGAATATGCTGGTATGTATAGGAGCAATCTGGTGATGTATGAATTTGAGTTCATAGCTGATTTATCTGTGATGTAGCTAATTCAAAGTTTCCCCTGACCTCTATGGCTGATTTAAAGGAAATACTTTCTGATTATATTGTCATTAAAGGAAATATTCTAATATTGATCTATGTTTGTTTTTATGTCTGTATACGAATCTGTATTTTTTTTTCTTTTTGTGTTTATGTTTGTTAGATATTATTATATGAATACTCTGTTCGTGTGAGTAAGATTTAGTTAGTCATCAACAACTCTGTTCTTCTTGTCAGGATTAGGAGAAGACAACATAAAAAGACAGCTTTGCCCTTCAATTTCACAGTCAAGAGACGAATTCACCGACGGAGGATCAAAAGTGTCCAACGACCAATAACAGTGGCTACTAACTGGCAATTTTTATTATGGAGGATGAAAAATGTCAGTACCCCAATAAGTCTAGGATCAAAAATGGCATTAACTCACTCTCTCACTCTCTCTCTATATATATATATATATATATATATATATATATATATATATATATATATATAGGCTTCGAATCTGATGCAACCAGTGTTGCAAAAATCGCGCCTAGGCGCTAGGCAGTGGGAGGCCGCCGTGAGGAATGGCCTCGGCAGCCTCCTCCGCGGCCGGCCGGCTAGGCAGTCTAGGCGGCCGCCTAGACCGCCTAACCGGCCGGTTCACGTTTTTTTTTTTTTTTTTTTTTTTTTTTGTTTAAAATGTGGGAAAAGTTTCGAAAAGCATAACTTTTTGACTCGGTTGTCTGAAGGCGGTTTGGTACACTAATTTCTCAAAAAAATGCTTCTTTATCTCTTAATTTTAGTTTTTTATGTATTTAGATGGTTTAAACAATCTTTTGAACAATTTTGCAACCACTTTCGTAAATAGTTTCTATCAAATAACTATGGAAACCTTATGTTTTATTACTAAATTTTGAAAATTTTTAATTTTTAATTTTATTTTTAATTAAGGAAATAAAAAATAAATAAAAAAATAAAAAAAATAAAAAATCGGCGCCTAGGGACCCCCTTGGCGCCTAACGTTTTTTGCAACATTGGGTGCAACCCTTATGGTACATGAGATTATGAGATCTCATGATATCCATTGATTCATTTTTCATGGATGGTTGAGATTGAAAGATTCTTTTAAACTAATAGTGGACATTTTTAAAACATAAGAATTAAAAAGTAATTCTAGTATTGAGTTTATTTTTGGTTAGTATTAAATTGTAATCTTGTGCATAATATTTGGTAGAATATTAAACGTAATAACTAGTAATAATTTGTATTGAGAGGTGATATTTTTAGTTGATTATACACGACGGTGTGTGCGTGCATGTAGTATGGTGTGTGCAAATCGTATGGATGAGGTTTTTTTTTTTTGGTAATTTTACGAAAATAGTTTATACGTGTGCGCGTGAATTTATGTATATGGGTTAGTTTTAAAGAAGAAGATTGTAAGAGTAGTACGTGTAGTTTTTTTTTTTTTTTTTTTTTTGACACCAGAGATGAATTTACGGAGGTGTGTGAATATGTACTCCGGTGTGTGCAAAGCTTAGGGATGGGAGCATTGTATTTTTTTAAAAAAAAAAACAAACATTAATAATAGCGTGTGTGTGATTGATCCACATTTTTTGTTATGCTAAAACTTAGCAATGTAAAAATTTATTTTAAGATGGTGTGTGCGTGCATGTGATCTAGCCTGTGTAAATTTCTGGGATGGGGGATTCGAAATTTTTTATTTTTTGTATTTCTACTAAAATTGATATTATGTGTGTCCGTGAAGTCAGATATATGATTTGTTTTTAAAGAAGAAGATTGAAATAGTACTACGTATTGTTTTTTTTTTTTTTTTTTTTTTTTTTTTTTTTTTTTTTTTTTTTTTTGACACCGAAAATGTAATTACAGTAGTGTATGCGAATATGTGCCTTGGCATGTGCAACGTTTAGGGATGAGGGCATTGCTAAGTATTTTTTCCTAATAAATCATTAATATTATGTGGGTGTTTGAATGTTTGTTAATGTTTTTTTTTTAAATAATAATTTGTAAGTGCACTATTCGTTGATTTTTTTATGCGCCTAAGTGGTAATATACAGTGGTGTGTGCGTATATGTGCAACAGTGTATGCGAGTTATTAAAATGCGATTTTGGCATGAAACTGTTATACGGTGTGGTCATGTATTTGTTTTTGATTTGTGGTTTTTTTTTTTAATACTGACTAAAGGGTAGTATAGGTGTGTGCATCGGGGTGTTACGGCATGTGCGAACAACTTGGCGTGAAATTTTTCTCAATTTACCTATGTAAGTACTAAGGATGTATTGTGGAGGTCAGTGTATGCAAACTACTGGTTAGTGTATGTAGTGGTGTGTAGTTAGGTGTGCGAATCCCTGGTCTCCTAAGTTAGTACATGTACCATTTTCTGTAATACAGATTAAAAGGTAGCATAGGTGTGTGCGTTGGGGTGTATGACGTGTGCAAACAACTAGGCAAAATAATGCACACCATGTCCTCTGTTTTCCTGTTGTGGCCGTTAGACGGCCATGGACCGTTTGGAACGAGGCCGGCGGCCATGGCTGCCGCCCTCGTTCCAGGCCGTTTGATGTCCAAACTTGGACCTCATTGTTGACAGCCATGACTGTCCAGCTGTCCTCGCCGAACAGCCGGTGATTGATATTCTTTGTTTTTTTTTAAATTTTTTTAAAATTTTTTAAATTTTTTATTCTATTTATTTATTTATTTTTAATAATTAGATAGGCAACCTGTAAAAAATATCAATTGAACAAATTTAGCTGGTAGATGGGCCTATTTGACACTTAATTTAGTTCGTGGTGGGAATTGAGCACTTCGCAATAGTAGATGAGTCTATTTGATAGTTGTGCCAATTTATTTTTTTTTATGGTGGTGTGTGAATTGGTGTGCAACAGCGTGTGCAAGTTTATGCACCCGCCGAACATGAACTCACGCACATTATAAAACTGAGGTCAATGCAATTTTTTTTTGTGTGTTTGATTATTACCAAAATTCTAATTAGAAGTGTGCGTGCATTCACGATGTTGTTTTTATTTTAAAAAAAAATTATAAAAGTACTTGTCGTTGATTTTTTTATTATCAAAATTGTTATTTACAGTGATGTGTGCACGAGTGTTTTATGGCATGTGCTAGTTAATGAGCCACAGACTTTAGCATGTCATTGTTATTTTTTTATTTGTTTTTAATGAATTAAAAAAACTGTTATTTAGTGAGCGTGTATTCATGCAGCTAAGCACACACCCAACAACTTCAGCGCACACATCTAGATTTTGACGATTTGGATGGGTGCGTTACTTCATTTGGGCGTGTGCAAAACACTGTAGGGTTGGGAAGTCACTAATGAATCAAGTGTAACAATTAATAATTCTGGACACACACTCAACTACTATAGCGCACACATTGGTTTTATAAGTTTTTGTATTGCAATGGAACTAAATTTTGACATTTTAATAAAAATCAAATTGAACTTCTATGACATACTCTAAAAAATTTTAATGAAATAAATTAAGATTATACTGTTCATTGAATTTTATTTTATTTTTGGAGTAGTTGTCTGTTGTTTGTTGTGTAAATGATAGTTTTTGGTGGTGGGTGCGGGTACAAATATGAGTATGTGCATAGAGTGTACCGATGTATATGGAAGGACGATGTTATCAGCATGTTATTGGTTTTATGTTTGATTAAGAATAATGGTTAGTTTGTTTGGTGATATTTTGTACGCGTATTTTTTTAAGTAATTTTAGTACACTAATGCACAATCGTTGAGTGATTGAATGTTATGGAAGTCAGTGCGTAGTTGCGCATACGATTGAGCATTTGTTTGAGGAACGGGTTGTGTGTGCATCGCTATAGTATATAATAATTGGTACTGTGGAGCCATACTCAAAGTTCAAACTAAACTGTGCGTGGTCGTGTTATGGCGTGTGCGTAGAAATGGTATATTGTAGAGTGTGCGTTTTGGTTAGTAAGCGTGTGCGTTACATGGAGAATATGACATATGTGCGTAGTGTTGAATGGGCAACTGTCTAGGGGTAGACCGGCCAAATGCCTAGGTTTGTTGATTGAAAGTGTTGATATAAAGTGTTATTAGATGGTCGTAAAGCCGTGAATGTTTTGAGTGTGGTTTTTTAAATGTATGAATTTGATTTTGTTGTGTGCGTAAGAACACGACAAATGTTATAT